CATGAAATAATGGAGATAGTGTACATTATTAGAACAACAACAACCAAGTCTTTGAAATAGTGTTTCATACCACCAGTACTTTGCAATTTGAACTGACCACATTTTAAGGGCTTAATAGCCCATATGGCTAGTGGCTATTGTACTGGACAAAACACCACTAGATGATCAATAAATTCTCATTTCCTTCCCTTTATATTTTACAAAGAGTTTAAACCTGAGCCATCCAGCTACGGTTACGTAGAGCCAATGAACTAGCTGCATTAGAGAATTGTCAGTCTGTGCTAATAGTTGTTAAACGTATTGAACATTGGGAATGCCCTACCTAAGACGGTACAGGTGTTGGTGGGTTTTTTGTTTTTTTTTAGTTTTAGTTGCCTTAAAGAATATGGTTCTATTAAGATTTTAAAAATCTTTTGATATTAGACATGGACATGCAAATAAGTGTGGCACTGTAGGACAAACACTGCACTGCTAACCACTGGGATTGCAGTTCAAATCCACCAGTCACTCCTTGGAAAACCCTGTACAGAGTGGCTATGAGTCAGAACCAACTTGATAGCATTTAATACCAACGAAGTCCCTGAAATTATATGTAACTTATGTGTTACTCTGTGTACATCTTTCTGCCAGGAGAATTCATAGCTTCCCTTAGATTCTTAAATGGGCTCAGAAAATTAAAAAAAAAAAAAAAATTAAAAATTCAGAGGCAATGGTGGTAGATGGGCCTCTTGGTTGTAGTGAACTTTTTGTTTTCATGTCATTTAAGGTTTGGCATCATTTGGTAGGGAATCCCAGATTCATACTGTTTGGCTTCTGCTCCTGCCAGGACATCCACTGTGGAATGTTTATGTTTTGGTTGGGGTACCTAAGTTACTATGCACATGCAGGCTCCTGCTCTCCCTGGAGTATATGGTGAAAGAGTAGGGGATCATGCCGCCTGTCTTCTGCTCCTCGGTAAAGTGATGGTTTTTAAGATCTCTTCCAATTACCTTTAGGGGCAGATTTGTTAAAGTAGATTCCTGAAACCTCCTGTTACATTGCAAATCACGACCAAACTAAAAAATTCCCCACTGCTTTAGCATTGGATTCTGACTCGAGCAGCCCTGTAGGACAAAGTAGAATGGTCCTATAGGGTTTTCAAGGCTATAAATCTTGTTTTAATCATCTACTATTTATCCAATAACTCCTATAAGCAGTGACTTTTTTTCAGTTTGAATGTTTTGGTTTGGTGTTTACTTTTTGGACTTTACAATGGATATATCATACTCAAATGAGGAACAGTAGCTTTGAGTGGGCAAGGAAGCCAAATAAGTAAGAGTTTGAGAGTTTTTCCACACTTTATTCTTACCCCTCCCTCACAACTACTGAGACTCAACAAATGTAGACAAAACAGCATTAAATTTCTCACAATAGACACAATTATCCATTAAGCAGTTTTTGTTGACTCATGTGCATTGCAGTAGGATGGTGCTCCATAGTTCTTTTCAAAAACTTGATATTGTGAATTGGGTGAAAGCTTATAGAGCAGGTCATTTTCCAGTTCAACTCCACACACATCTTGTTTCATGTCACTGATGGCCATTCCCTCAGCGTAACCACACTTATCCCACTTCCTCCTTGTGCTTTCTGCCTCTATTTCTCCACTTTTCCTAACCCTTCCTGTATCCCCAATTTTGTCCTTGGGCAAATGCTCTTTTCATCTCAAAGGGTTGAATAGGCTTAAGAAGTGCATATACCAAGTCTCTAGTGTTATATTTCACCTTATAAATTCGCTATTTGGTAGAAAGCTGAGCTGTGGGGATGAGTTCATACGCAGAGCTGAGGGATGGCCAGAGGCCAGTTTTTGGGGTTCCATCAGCCTCTGTCTGACCAGTAAACTTGGTGCTTGCTTTATAATCTTGAGTTTTATTCCACACATTTCTCCCACACTACCTAGGATCTTCTAATGTAATTGCTTTCATAGCGGTCAGTAGTGGTGGGCACCATCTAGTTCTGGTCTCAAAGCCCTGGTGGTTAGTATATGCATAGTTAATTGGACTCTTACCAGGCATCTTTGATTTTCTTCACTCTTCTTTCCTCTGGACCAGGAGAGGTCAATAGCTGCCCCTTAGATAGCTGCTCAGGACATTGATTTTTGTGGTGTCTCCTGATACTATGTCATTCCCTCAAGGTGTTTTTTTGTTATGGCTAAGAAATTTTCGGAGCTTTGCTCCCTTCCTATATTCATGGATATAATTGTAGCATAAAAACCCATGTCAAATGTACTGCCATTGAATCGATTCAGACTCAGAGTCACCTACAGAGCAGAGTAGAACTGCCCCTTTGGGTGTTTAAGACTACATATCTTTACCGGAGCAGCAGATGGGTTAGAACTGCTGACCTTGTGGTTAGCAGCCCAAAGGATAAACCCACTATGCTCCCAGGGTTTCTTAATGCGCAGCAGAGGTAAATACATACTTAGAAATTACCTTGTCAAAAGTTATCTGTCCTCCTGCGTACAGTCCCATTCTTTCCCACACCTGTTCAGCTTGCATGCCAGTCTATGCATCCACTTATAGGTTATTGTTATTGCAGGATTTGCCTAATAGTAGGATTTGTCTATATTTATCTCTATTGCCAAAGTTACAAATCTTGTATGGAAGTAGACCATCACATCTTTCCCCTGCAAAGTGGCTGTTGGATTTAAGCTACTGAATTTTCACATAACAGTCCAATGCTTAACAGACTGCACTGCTATGGTTCCTAAATCATGATGAAGTATATTAAACTAAGATGGAACCAAAGACTGAATGTAGGATAATGTGCTGAGCAGCAATGTCGGATTGAACAGTAGAGTTGATGGTTCAAACTCACCAGCCGCTCCTTGCATACAAGGTCGATATGAGTTGGAACTGACTCGATGGCACTTAACGAACTCTTTCATAGCAGAGTCCTGGTAAGACTTTGTAGGACAAGCATTGGACTGCTAACCACAAGGATGGCAGTTCAAAACCTTCAGAAACCCTATGTGGTGTGACTGTGAGTCAGCAATGACTTCGTAGGCATTTCACAACATCATCACCACACTCTTGTAGATACAAGTAGTAAATACGCAACTACTAGTGACAGGCTAGCAATTTGCATCCACACAGTCATGCATCACAAGAAATGCATGTCAATAGAATGAAAACTCAATGACTGAAAACTCTGTGGGAGCAAGTCCTGTTTTGACACACATAGCGTAGTGGTTACGAATCGGGCTGTGAACCGCAAGGTCAACAGTTCGAAACTACCAGCTGTTCCACGGGAGAAAGATGAGGCTTTCTGTTACCGTAAAGATTTACAGCCTCAGAAACCCTGTACAGGGTCGCTGAGTTGGAACCGACTCCACGGCACGTAACAACAACAACAAAAGTTACTATGAGTCTGAATCAACTTGCTGGCAGCTGGTTTGCTTTTTCCCCAAGCGGCCCAAGCTGGCTTCCGCAACCTAAAGTAGAAGCACCCTGGTTGACTCTATTATAACTGTTTGGGTTAGAGCTTTGCATTCTTGGGGCCACATGAGTCCGTCAGGCCTTTAATGAGATCGTGCAAGGCGAGGCAAGCGATTTCGCTAAAGAAACCCATATGCTTACGTCTGCCTTTCAGCAATTTATAATTTATCTGCTGGCGTTTGTTCTCTGTGAAACACTAGATGGGAAGATGGGGTCCGAAGTAAGAATGCTAGAGATGGAGGGTTTCTCCTGGGAGCCAGGGATCCAATTCTATCGGAAATAGAACTGGAAGCATTGGAAAACTAGATCTGTAATCCACTTTGTGCAAAAATCTCACTCTGCAGATTGGCTAGAACAATGCAGCAGACATCAGTATCTCAGCAGTGCCTGGTTCTAGATGAAGTAATTAACAGACATCTTAATCGTAAGGAATAAGGATTTCAGCGTGCTAGTCTCATAAAGGCGCTCTGGTAGCGTAGTGGTTCCGAATTAAAGATTTATAGCCTCAGAAACCCTGTACAGGGTCGCTATGGGTCGGAACCAACTCCACGGCACGCAGTAGCAGCTTCATTAACTTCTAAACCAGTGTGGCTACTATAATTAGTCTCAAGATTCTGGCCCCAAAGGAGGGTTTGGGGTTGGAACTTACAGTCTGTGGAAGGAATCTTTGTCCAAGATGCCTAGATACCTGGTCACTGCAATCAAAATTTCAGATAGGGCAGTGATTGAGCCCAATGTCTGCCATCATGGCAAGTGAAAGTGACATTAGTAACCTCCAACCCCCTTATTTTCTTTAGGTATTACAGCTGGAATGGGTTTAAACTCTATCATCAGGGAATGTTATAATAAGTGCCACTGAGTTGGTTCTGCCCCATAGTGACCCTGTATAGGGTTTCCAAGGAGCGACTGGTGAGCTTGAGCCACCGACCTTGTAGTTCAAATGGCTTTGCAGTCTGGCACATTAACTCACAGTGCCACACCAGGACTCCATAATCAGGGAATAGTTTACAAATTCATTATTTACGGGTCTGGGGTTACTCATCTGAAAGGTACTCATTTTGAAGTGACCCTGTTACTTTCTGTAAATATCATTTGGTTTTCAGAAGCATCTTGGTAATGAAAAGCTGGGCCTAGACACTGACATGCATTCGTTGTGACAGGCAGTAATGGTGGCAGTAAATCAGAGATTTCATTGAAAACAACTGACTGATAACTTTCTCATAGCTATTCTTGTTGATAGCATATTGGGTCAGTTTGAGCCTTTCTATATGGCAGGCAGACAGAACTGCAGGATGATATGGTGAATTTGCTTTCTTACTTCTTTGTGTACAGACCTTAGTTTTACATCTGTCATTGGGCAGAATGGAGGTATCCGATGGTCTGAAAGACTCAAATCCTTCCCCGGTAGTAGGAAATATACAACCAAGGGGAAAACAAAACAAAACAAAACAAAAAAACAACATTGCAAAAGACTTTTATTTTATAGGCACCACTGCAAAATGAGGAATCATTTCAAAACATATCAAATAGAAAATAATTTATTTTAACTTCATTTGACTTCATGTTTGTTAACTAATCATGACTTCCTGAACTTGCTTGTCAAAGTCTGTACCTTCACATCTACAAAGCAAAGGTTTACTTATTACAATGAGCACTTAAAATTCCACAAACTGTCTCCATCCACAACTTTCCTGGACATGCAAATTCTTCCAACCGGTTGCAGTATTTGCAAACATGCTTTAGTCTTCTGTGAAGCTGCGTAATATTTTCCCTTTCAGTTTAAACCTTTACATTGTCTTGGGAACCTCAACCAGAAATATGCTCAAATGTCTATGTCATATCTAGACACTGCTGGCTTGGGTATGTGTATTTAACTCATGAGCCAAAGCGTTTGGTGGTTTGAGTTAAAACCGTAACCTAAATAATATATTAATGGCCACTCATATGAAACACATTCAGCAAAGTAACATTATAAAACAGAATTCCATTAAAAATACCTATTGGCAGTTGTATTTGTGTTTTAGGCAGAAAAAAAGGAAAGCACGTTTAACTTTTTTTTATATGAATATAGTTTAAACAAATTATTTCGTGAAAGTATGCTTAATAAATTTTTTTTTTGAAATTTAAGCACTTTATGTAAAAGATAACAAGTAAAAAAGTACAATTTGAGGGAAAAAAAGCTTTGTTTGTTCATATTGCCTTTCGAGATAGTAGGGGTGGTTTTATCTCCAGTTAAAATAGAGCTATGACACGCAGAGTTGTATAGTTCACAACTCCTGACTATAAACACGGTGGCTGTTATTTTTATCTTATATACAAAAGCTTGCCACATTGAACGAGGCGCAGGATTCTCTACCGCAATGGTAACGTTCTTTCTTTATGTACAGAATGCAGAAGTGGAAATTATACAGTAGTCACGGATAAGAAGGAATTGTATATTCTTGTGCCGTCTGGAGACTTTGTGCCGTGGGTTAAGAGTTCTTGGATTGTCATCCAATTGTCAAATATCTTTTTATTCCGCTTCTTCATCATCTTTTTGTGGCTCAGTTCAATGATGTTCATCTCCTTCTTGTCGTCGGCCCCTTGCTGCTCCCGCAGACAATCTAGCCTGCTCTGCATCATAAACTCGCGCCTCCGCCGCTGCTCCTTGGCCTTGACCAGATGCTGCTTCCGTTCCTCTTTGCTCCAGTAGCGCCCCATCTTCATCTCGCTGATGGCGTCGTCGTCGGTGGTCATGCCGCTGCGCTCCTCCCGGATCTTCAGGGCACGCTCCCTCAGCAGACGGTCCCTCACCGGCCTCTTGGTGATGTAACGTGTGCCGTCACTACGGATCTTCACCTTCCACTCCATCCTCTGTTCTGACTGGTTGGCGGAGTTCAGGTCCTTGCACATGCTCACCAGACTCATCTGGCTCTGCGCGTACTCAACGGCAGACTTCTGCTGGATCAGCTGCATGTAGCTCTGGTAGTGCTGGGCATGCGCAGGGATATGGGCGTGCTTGTAGGGAGAATGATGGTAGGAGGACAGGTATGACCCACCCAGCTTCTGGCTGGGGGTGGGGCTCCTGCTGCCGTCGTTGGATTTCCTCTCTTTGCTCTCCAGGGGCTGGCTCAGGTCCAGCTCGTTCGGAGATGGGCTGTAATTAGGGGTGGCACCGTCAGGATCTTCTGTGATGGAGAGCAGGCTCTTTGGGGATGCGCCATATGCCTCTGTGGTACCTGCAGCCCCTTCGCTGCCCTGACCACCGATGTCCTCCGCGGCTCTCCTCAAGGAGTTGTCAGGGGAGATCTCCAAGGTGAGAGGTGTACTCCGGCAGCTCTCCCCGGTGTTGTAGGCGCTCGAGCTATCTTTATCGGATTTCTCGGGGAGCTCGGTGATGTCTGAGAGCTCATGTCTGCGGATGTCGAGGCTGGTGTAATTTCGGAAGCCGCCATTGTGTAGCATCCACGACTCACGGTATTGCTCTTTGAGCTGTTGCATCTTGTGGGCGCGCACGATGCTGAGACACTCCAGCTCGATGTTGCGCAGCTCCTCGTTTAGCAGCTCCAGCTCCTTGTCCACGCTCTCGGGGTCACTCTTGCTGGCATCCAGGGGGCTGCTGGGGTAGTACAGGCTGTAGGGGCCGGCGCTCTTCACCTGGCACTTAAGCTCCAGGAGCTCCCGGAAGCGCTCACACTCGTCCACCGGGATGCCGAGGTAGTCGGCGTCCGTGCAGTCGGCCGAGATGAAGGATTCATTGCTGAAGGGCAGATCACCACTGCCCAGAGTGTCCTGGCTGCAGGTCAGCTTCCTCTGGCCCGCCAGCGGGTTGGAGGACGCAGTGGGGTCGTCTGCATTGTTCTCCTGCTCCGAACTCTCATCATTGCGGGTGCTCTCGTCCGTGCGTCCCACACCGCTGTCCTTCTCATGCTGGTTGGACAAGATGGTGGCGGTGTCTGTGGTGCCGCCATCTTCCTCGTGCTTCTTCTGCATCATAGAGAACAACAACAAATGCTCAGAGGTCTGTGGACCAGTCACACACCCTTTACTTTCATTGCAGCAAGGCCTAAGACAAGACATCCCTATTACTGACAGAGTATTAGTGCTTCATAGAGAATCAGATCTCTAGGTGTTTGTTTCCACAGCGCTGCTGGGAGGGTAACAAACTGCCAATGTACTTTAATAGCTGGGCACCAAGTGTTTGTGCCACCCAGGGACTGAGGAATAGGACCAAGGCCTGGGAATTAGTCAGATGGACCTCTCCCAGGATTAGGCATCCTTCTCTCCTGTTCTACCTAACTCACCATGAATTAGAGCTGACTCAGTGGCCACTCCTAACCCAAAGGTTGATGAGCTTCAAAAGAAACACCTGGTCATCTATTTTTACAAAATCAGCCCTTGGAAACTGTACAGAGCACCTCTTCTCAAACACTCCGGGTCAGCACCATCAGTCAAAAATTAATTGACGGCAAATGGTCACCTCTAACTTAGATGCGTTTTCTCATCTGTAAACTTAGGATAATAATTGTGGTCTTATTATTTCAATGAGTGGTGGTGTCAGGTGCACTTGAGTTGGTTCCAACTCATAGTGACTCCGTATAGGGTTTCTGAGGAGCCGCTGGTGGGTTTGAAATAATGAATTGGTCGTTAGTAGCCTAGTGCTTACTCTGTAACACCATACCAGGATGAAATGAAACATTTTAAGTATTAAATAACCCCAGTTTTTCCGTAACTTTCTGAAGCTCCTTTTAGTGCTTTAAGCAGCTCTGTGGGAAAAACATGAAGTTTTCTTCTCCTTTAGTCTTAGAAACCCTGTTCAGGGTCGTTATGAGTCAGAACTGACTCCCCAGCACACAGCCACCACACCACCATGTGGATGCAGCATGCAGCACCAATGGTTAAGCATTCATAACTAATTGAAAGGGTAGTAGTGTGAACACCCAAGAAGTGCCTTGGAAGAAAAGTGTGGCAATCTGATTCTGAAAGGTCAGGGCCAGGAAAACTGTATAGAATGGCGTTGTACCTTGGGTTCCCATGAGCTGGAATCAACTCAACAGCGTTGGTTTTTTTTGTATGGCTGCTGGCAGGGATGTTTTCCAACCCAAGTTCCAGAAGCACTGCTTCTGCTGTCCCTTAGCCTTTGTGCTCCGCTTTAAAAGGCAGGAGAAGGACTGGCTTGAATGTCACTGAGGCGCATGCAGAAAGCCTGTGTGCTGATGAGCTTTGGCAGCAGGGAGGGAGACAGAGGCGTCGGGGACGTTACCTGCTGTAGCACGCTCGCCGTGAACTGCATGGCCTGGTGGTGCTGCTCCTCCAGCATGTCCATGTGCAGGTCATCTAGAAAGTCATTCCGATCATCGTCCATCCAGCCTTCGTCCAGCTGCGGGGAAGCAGTAGCCAACACATGCCTCAGAGGAGTTGACCCTATGCTTTGCTCTTATGTTAAGAAATGATCCTGACCTCACAAAGAGACCCTGGTACTATATGCCAAGTAAGGAGTCTCGACCGGTTACAATTTAAATAATTTTGTCCAGGTGAAGCTTTTTACCCATATCAACGACTCTGAGTGATGTAGGTCACCTATGTAAGAGGGGAAACTCGCTGCCCACCCCCCCACACCTTAAAGAGAAACCATTTTGGGGGTGTGGAAAGTGTTTTTTTTGGCAAAAACAAAACAAAAAAACCCTAGCTCTCCAGCTTGGGCAAGGTCTAACATTGTACCAGGCTTTGATTTTACTTGCCCATGCAAGAGCAGACTAGCTCCGGGGCGGGCAGATTTCAGTTCATGGACAAAATTTGGCATACCACTGAACGGGGCTGGATTACCCAATTATTAAGTAAACCCATGTTTTTTACTTTGCTTATCTGTAGTGAACAATTTTACACGCATTTCACATTTTTTATTCAGTGGCAGTCATTTATCATGTGTGAACATCACTTCTATCTTCATTAGCCAAATAGAAATTATCAGCCAAAATAGAAACTCTGTACTGGGTAGGCAATAACCCCTCCCCATTCTTTCTTCTCCCTGGCAACCACTCATCTACTGTTATCTCCAGGCATTTGCATATTTTAGGTAATTGGGAAGTTAAGTACCATGAAGTTGGTTCTGACTTATAGCGACCCTGTGCAGGGTTTCCGATGAGTGACTGGTGGGTTTCAAATTGACCTTTCAGTCCAGTGCCTTAAGTCTGAAGCATCACACCAGGACTCCAGATGTTGATACATTCATCTATGGCTGGACATGAGCTGTCGCCACTGTTCTCATATTTGATTTTAAAAACAGACAGCCAACTCCATCTGCAGGGAATGGACTTACCTGGAGCTCAGGCCTTGCAATCAACAGGGAGAAATTCTTGTTTTCTTCACTTGTTAGAAGAGCCACGGCCTCTTCGCGGTTTTGTACTTCTATCCCATTGATCTTTTAAAAAAAAGAGGGGGGATAGGATTGGTAGGTAAAAGTGGACAATAGCATAATTAGATCAAATCGTGCAACTTATTCTTTATTGCTACTATCTCCTACTCCCAGCTCGACCCTACAACTTCCATGTGGCTTATAAACAATGCTGATTTTTTGGTGGGGGAGGGGTCGTGCTGATACTGACACTGTGAGAGCGGCTCCTCGGGTTTAGCCTAGAAGCTGACGGTCAGGTGGAGGTCATGTGGACAGGAGTGGCAGGGATTGTGGGTCAGACATCATGCTGAAGCAGAACTATGAAGGGGATGCACGAGCGCATGATTAGATTTTTTTTAGACCATCTGGGAGAAAAGGAAGCGGTGGTTCTGGTCTGGACAGCTAGGGCAGCTAGAGCAGGAATGACGTTGTAATGGTTCTGTGTCTCCACTGTAGTACTTCACTTCTTGATGCATTACAGAGGACCATGTGGGAGCTACTCCCTCTCAGGAGTTGCGCGGAAGCGCATCTTCTCAGGGACAGAACAAATGTCCCACAGAGTTGGGAGACAAGTCTTCCACCTGCCCATTTGGCTCCTTAGGCCACTGAACTAACAGACAACAACAGGGGTAACTTGGCTGGTCGGATGGTTGCTCCTGACCACCAAGGAGAAACAAACAGGTGTGCTGCCAAACAATGGAGGTGGGAAGGGCTCTCAGGTGCCTCTTTAATGCCTCCAAGCTCAAGAGTAAACGTGACTGGAAAACCCCAGCTGCTAGAAAGGGGCAGGACTACAGAGGGTCCTGAAGCAAAGTCCTGGCTAAGGGTTAGAAAGGTGGAGTAGGAATAGGGGAAGGCAGATCACTCTGGGTGATCTATGTAATGATAAAAAAAATAAACATAGTGGATTTAAGATGTGGGACGAGGCAGAAAGCTAAATAATCCTTGGGGGATAAACTGCAGCAAAGAGGATCGAATCTCAACTGTGGCTAAAATAGAGATAAATGGTCTCACTTTGAGGAGAAGGAACAGCAGGGCTTGAGATAATGAAACTACCTTTGCAAGTAATTCCTATAATGCCTAAATGTTGAGTCATTCAGCTTCAAAGATTGCTCAATTGATTGTGCTAAATATGCCAAGAAGCTCCCATTTTTAAGGACAAGACCAAGCTTGAGGCACTTAAGTCTAAAATTACTCCTTCAGACATTTACTTTGGTTCAGAAGTTGCAAACAGTTGGCGAGATCTGGCCTACTGATGTGTTGTTCTGAGTAGCACCAGCAGAATTAAAAGTAGGGGAACTAGTTCCCATTCTGTAGACAACTGTATCAGCTGGCTAGAGACAGCTGCCCTATTAGATAGGGACCACATCCAGGGTGTCAGTGTCGCTGTGTCCCCACCTCCTGCGGGTGCACCTGACACTCCAGAGCTTACACCACTCACCATTTTAACTTGTCTCGGCTCCACATCTGACAGTGTGATCCCTGCTCTTTATTATCTTTGGCATTTTCAACCCTAGAGTTAGTGTTAGAACCCCCGATTCAGACCTACCTGGATAATGCGGTCTCCTTCTCGAATGCGCCCATCCTTGGCCGCAATGCTGTTTGGGTCAATCTGAAACATGCAGGGGGCATTTCAGCACTCAACCAGACACATGGGAGAATAAGAAACAATTCCCAGAAGCCTTCTTGAACAAATCTGATGGGGGCTTCAAGAAGTTGGTGGTAAAATTCCATTGTCTTCTAATTCCATTTCCCCACCAAGTTTCTGAAGCCCCCTCTTAAGTCATGTTTGGGAAGATGGAGGGTCAGAGAAAAAGATCAGTACCGACTCAATGGCATCTAACAACAACAACAAGTTAGTCATGCTCATTGCTGTGTTTTGGTCCTGCATGGACAAAACAAGTCAGTCTGTGCAAGAAGAGAGAAACTTGGGTTGAACTGCTTCCCAGCTCCTTCCAGGGCCCTGTTCTCTCAGATTCCTTCATGGCAACCCGCGTGTACAGACCCTGCTGACCATGATGAGGCATGGCTTTTGTCACATGGACAGTAATGAGACTGAAATCAATTATGCAGCATAGCTTAAAGGGGTGCCTTTGCTATGTTGACTATATCACACAAGCAATATCTTGACTATTTTCTAACAAATGCTTCTTAATAGTTTTGGGAGATGACTTCAAAAATGAAATCGAATTGAGCTTAATAGGATTGAGTATGGAAGGAACATCCCCAAATAAAATAACAACGCATAGACTTAAGCTTGGTGGATGAAAGTACATCCGGGGAGATAAGTATTACGTCTTGCAGATATAGCCCCTGGCTTATACTTCAGAGGTCAGTTCTTTTCTTGACAAAATCCTGAGCTTACAATGGAAAGCGAGTGAATGGTAAAGGGTCGGCATGGAGAGATGTTTTGCCTTCTCCACAAAGATCAAAACAGCTCTGTCTGTACTCGGAAATTGCATTTAACTTATGTGAATTCAACCGTACATACTAGCCTTTTTTTTTTTTTTTCTTTAAGAGAGAGAAAAAGAAACACTTTAAAAAGTATAAGTGATTCCATCCACCATTCCACTCACTGAACAGGAGATGGGAAATGTGAGTCTGCCATTCCCTCAGGGTGAAACACACACAACCATGTAAACGGCTCCATTTTATGGCCGATTTGCTGCTTCTCCAGGGTAATTCTGTCTTAGGAGCTGCCTTTAGAATTTAACCCCCATGTAACGCAGTAACTCCGTGGTTGTGGGATGAACGGAGCTTCTAGATGTGCTAGAGTTAAGGGTGGTTAACATATCAAAGAGGACGTAGGATGGGCAAACTTCCTATGTTGCTTTCCATGAAGGAAACATAGGTGTCCTACTTAATGTATCTCATGCACAGACTAAGACGAAAGGCTTTGTGACTTATTTCTGAAATCCCTATGCAGCACAGTGGGTTCAAGTGGATGGTGTAGGACCCGGGAGCATTTTGTTCCATTGTGCATGGGGTCACCATGAGTTGGGAGCCAACTCAGTGATGGCTAACAACAACACAGAAAAGAAAACAGGAATGATGTTGAAATGACAGAAGGAAACAATTAGCAGGCATACTTCGCTGATGTAAATCCCAATGTCATCTTCATCGTCGGTGCGGTAACACACTGTGAGGCCGAGTTTGTCTTGGCTGTTCACTCGGTATAGATCCACTTCCTAAGACAAAGAAAGGGCATTCCCAATGAGACTCAGCGAGCTGCGAGAGAATATGGATGTCAAATGCTTTAAAAATATTATGTTTAAATGATGAACTGGATTTCTTTGCATTCAACTGTGTAGAGCTGGTTAACTTACTAAACAAAAAAGTGATTAGCGACGTGGGATCAATGCCCGGGGCAGTTCTGACCTTTCAGTCAATATAAAGTCATTTTGAAAATAGTTATTTTATTGATCTCCCCAAAGAAAAATTAGCCATATTTCACTCAGACTTCTGGGGTCGGACTTTTTAAGAAGCATTCTTTCATTGTCTGCCACAAACAAGAATATTTCCTTAACCTGAACCGCCCAGCCATTGCAGTACAAATGTTTCCAGTATGTTTGGTTAGATTATTTCACATTGCGTTTCCTTAATATTCACAGTAATAGAACTTGCAAACAGATTACACACAAATTGATCCAAGAAAGGAGAGTAACGTGATAGCGTGCAATTAATGCTTTCCACAACAGCTGTGATATTTACAGTTGAGAAATTACTTTCAGCCTCTATTACTGCAAATTAAATCAGATAAAAGCAGAGTAAACCCAAATGCAAGGCACATGAGTACGGGGAATGTCGTTGTATGTGCACTGCATGAACGCAGAACACTGACAAGGGTAGAGTATCTGGAAGTTCTAGTGTGACTGATCCTCATTCACTCTGGCGAGCATTTCCCAGCAGCCTCTCTGGAAACTGCTAATGGAAGGTGATGAGGATTCGGATTTCTTTGTGGGGAAGCACAGAACAGTTGTAGGGCAGGTGGTTCTTGAACCTCGCCTGTGAAAGGGAGCGTGTTCACCACCAGGGCACATCCCACCCTGAAGGAAAGCAGGTACAAAGATCCTGGGGGGGGGAATGGGCTGGCTGGTGTAAGAAACAAGGCAGAAGACAAGTGTGGCCAAAGACCTGTGTGGTAGAGAGAGAGGGGCAGGACTGAGTGTGGCCTGAAGGTCAGGGTGAGGAATTCAGCTGTTAGTGCAATGTGGTGAGCATTCATCAAAATGCCTGTTGAAGCAAGGGCTGCAGCCGTCTGATTTTCTCTGCTTGCTGGTCTCTCTGGCCACTGTGCAGCTGTGTGGTGAAGAAGTGGGACCCCTATTTGGGTCTCAGTTTTCCCTCACTATATCCAAGTATCTGTTTTCTCACGAAAAATCGTCACCTTGCCTCCTAGAGCAGGGTGAGGAGGAATCCCTAGATGTGGCCTGATGAACACCAGGCACTGTTCCGAGCCTAGAGAAAGCACACAGAAAATGGCAATACAATAATCAAGTGCAGTTAGGGTTAATTACATGGGAGTCTCTAGGTGGCACTAATGGTTAAGCGCTGAGCTACTAACCAAGACTTTAAGAGTTCAAATCACCTAGAAAGGCCAAGTGATCAACAGATCGGTCATTGAAAACCGATGGAATGCAATTCAATTCCACTCCGACACACATGGGGCCGTCATGAGTTGACCCGACAGAAACCGCTGTTGGTGTTTTAATGGCTCCTTGCCTAAAGTCACAACAAGTTGTTTGTGGCAGGATGGATGTATTTCACATGCCCCTTCAATAAGATAACTTCATTTTATTTTTCTTAACACTAATATGTTAATTAATTCAATGACATCCTAATTACAGCTCTAGCAATATGGCAAATGCTCATTAAATGAGACCCATTAATTTCTAATAACTTAGTTGCATTAAATGTATATATCTCTTTCCTCATTTTATCAGCTGTAAGCAACCTGATTCAGGGAACACAAGTTTAAGGGTCATATGTAACGATGAAAAAACCAAAACTCTCTCCAAATAGTTTGGACTAACCAATTTGCATACCACCAAAAATACTATTCACAAATGATCTTCAAACAGATTCTCCCCTGTTCCCTAGTATCTCTTAGGTTATATTTAATGGGAAAAGGGAAGACTTTTCTGTTTGGGTGCCTAGCTAATGCCATTTTCTTTATGCTTTTTTTAGGTGTACCTGTAGCAACAGTCAAGAAATCCAAACATGTATTGCATTAGGCACATCTGCTGCACAAGACCTCTTGAAAGTGTTGAAGAGCAGAGATGTCAGTTTGAGGACTAAGGTGTGTGTGCCTGACCCAAGCTGTGATATTTGCAATAGCCTCATATGGACACTGAATAACAAAGGCCGTAGAAGAATTGATGTGTTGGAGAAGAATATTAAAAATATCATCGAATGTCAGAAGAACAAACAAATCTGTGTTGGAAGAAACACAGCCAGACGGTTCCCTAGCAGCCATGAAGGTAAGATTTCATCTCTTATACTTTGGACATGTTCATTGACAAGTTGTTTAGGAGGGACAGTGAAAAAGAAGACCCAATGGGCTCAAATGTAACAGTTGTGAGGATGTCGCAGTATCGGGTGGTGTTTCATTCTGTTGTGCAGAGGGTCACTCTGAGTTGGATCAAAGTAGATAGAGATAAAGAAAGAGGAGACTACAAAGTTACCGCCCCCCAAAGCAGACATCTCTTCGGAGTGGAGAGGGTATTGCAGTTCTGTTGGGTGGGCTTCCTATCGTGCCATTCAGTGAGCTTCAGTGGTCCCGATGAGGTCAATTCAAGTTGGAAGGACCCCTGGTGGTGTAGTGGGTTAAGTGTTGGGCGGCTAATTTAAGATGTGGTAGTCTGCTTTCATGGACATACATAGCCTTGGAAAGCCTAGGGTGCAATCTGACATCTATCCTAGATGGTCACTATGATTCAGAAGTGACTCAAGGGCAGTGGATTTTTGGTATAACAGTTAGTTGACCATTGGCACAATAAGTAAAGTTTTTCTTAGTGGGCCTGATACATTGAGCAAGATGTAGATGGAATCAGGTGGTGCTGGACTTCGGGGTGAGACTGTGTGGTGAGCAATGTCATCATTTACAGCAGAAGCAGGTCGTGGTTGATGACAGATTGAAATTAAACAAGCGAGGCCAAATCGGTCCTTGTGGTCTTGTACCACAGAGTCTGCGAAGCATACACTAATGTGTGGGATAAAAGAGGCGAGATGTGAGTAGGGAAAGAGATGTGGTAACGGATGGTCTACTATGTAGAAAGGATTAGGTTTATTGAGCCTAGTACCACAATGTAATCTGATGACTATAAGAATTTCATGCATGCTTTTGAGAAAACAAAATTGAAAAGCATTTCTGAAGCTGAAGTTGGTGTTGGCACTGGTGAAACCATTCCTCCTCTCCCTCCCCAACAAGTTTACCTTACTTTCATAACCAGTGAAAAAAATTATAATTAAATATCAGGATGGAACTGATGGCATCTTAAAATATTTTCACCAAATTGTCCATAATTGTATCAGGGACCACATCTTGTATTCTTCTTTAACATTTTGGCAGGCTTTCATTGAAATTATATGATACAGAGATGATGGTTAAACACTATGTGTGTTTGTTTTCATGGGCAGGAAGAGGATCTCCGTGCTAGGTGTGCTCCCAGTATCTTAGAATACATGCTTTCACATGATAGCAGAATGATGTAGATAGAGCCCAGTACAGTGTTTAGCTTTTGAATCGCATTGTAGATCCTCCCAGAAGGAGAATCACTTAAATGCTATAAGTTGACTTAATGTTACAGAGGTCCAATGCGTGCTTTGATGTGAATGAGAGGCCCAGATGTGGTTCTGACACAGTACGAAGCCCACACTAATGAAGGCCAGGGGATGGGAACAGTGGAGTCTAATCTGAAATGCTTGCTTGCCCTGAGTATGCAAAAGCTGTCCGTTCCAACCCCACTTCCAGTGGGTTGTGAAGATCAAGCTTCAGAACCTGAGCTTTAGAACAGGCATAGGGAAAGAAGTGTAATTTTAGCTTCAGGGCAGTCCTCTGGGAACAGCCTTTTATCTTGAAAATGATCTGGTTTTAAAAGGATTGATGGTACTAGGTGAACAAAACCTGGTAAAGCACATTTCAAGAAACAGTTAAAACGAAGGGTATTCTGGAATTGAAGTGTGCGTTTGAGACTGATGTTGGATGGTGTAGCTACATTTCCTGCTGTACTTTCTTAGGAAATCTAATCTAAGGGCAGAAAAGCAGCATTTAGAAAGCACAGGGTGTGACTTAGCTGTGGTCCCTCAATTTCCATGGACTGATTCAGTATAAAAGACACACCCCTAGGTGCTACACAGTTAACCATAGAGTGAATCAATGTTTTAAGAGTAGCTTTTCTCTTCGTGGAGTCCTGGTGTGGTGCTGTGGGTTAATGCACCAGTGTGCAAAGCCTTTGAACTGCAAGGTTGGCGGTTCTAGCTCACCAGCTGCTCCTCGGAAACCCTATACAGGGTTGCTATGGGTCGGAATCGACTTAACGGCTCTTAACAACAACAACAATTCTCTTTGCAGATGTATAGATTGGGGTTTTACCTCGACAGTTCATTAATATAGACTAGAGTTAGAAACGTTATTATGTATCGTCAAGCCGATTTCAATGCATACCAACCCCATGTGACAGGAGAACTACGGCAGAAGATTTTACTGAACCGCAAGGTCAGTGGTTCAAAGTCACCAATACTCCTTGGAAACCCCATGCAGGGTCTGTATAGTTGGAACCGACTCAATGGCACTTAACAACAACAACAAATATTGACAGGACCATAAGGTTCCTATAGTAAGGCACTGTTGTTGTGTGCCCTCCAACTGATTCTGGTAGCGTAGTGGTTACAAATCGGGCTGCGAGCCTTAAGGTCAGCAGTTCGAAACTACCAGCTGCTCCGTGGGAGAAAGATGAGGCTTTCTGCTCCAGTAAAGATTTACAGCCTCGGAAACCCTGTACAGGTCGGAACCGACTCGACGGCACTTAACAACAACAGGACTTTATAGGGGTTTCCTGAGGGCCACTATTTACAGGAGCAGACAGCTGGGTCTTTTTCCTATGGAACAGCTGATGGGTTTCAGCAGTTGACCTTTTGTTAGCTGCTGACTTTATAACCATTGTACCACTAGGGTCCTGAGTAAGGC